GTAAATGAGCTGTTATAATAAAACTTGTAATATATTTTAAGACAACAAAAATGAGAGAACTAGGGTCTCTCTAAAATCGTGGTGCTGGTAAGTACTACGGTCAAAGGGCTTATATTTCGTATATGTAGGTATTACGGGTACTTAGAAAATATAAACAATTTATAACACGTTTAAAACCTTTTATTTATAAAAACACCTATACAAGTTCCTGGACCACATAACTTACCGCCTACCGGTACCATGATTTTATAATGACTACCTTAGTTCTATCATTTTTGTTGGCTTAAATATATTATACATTTTGTTGTCTCAGCTAATTTTCTTTATTGGCCTAAATTTTTTACGGATATTGTTTAAAGTAATATTATATGTTTTATCGGCACATACAACAATACTAATAAATTCAAATTTAAAACACACGGATTTTTCAACACGCACATTATAATAAATCATAATACTTGAAATTTTCAAAGTAAAAATCTATGGATATTTTTTTATACACTTTGAATATTCTTTTCTAAAACAACATTTTTTTTTGGAAAACTGTATGATATATTTTATTTTGTAGAAAATAAAAATAATAATTATATCTCTTAGCAATATTCATATATTAATGTGGACATTTCAACTGCCACACAAAGAATTTATGATTTTTCAACTATGATACTAACTGAATTATTTAAGTTATTACTTAAAAATAACATAGTTTTCTGTAATTTTCAAACCATTTTTTTCGTAATTCTATCCAACGTACTTTATTTAACGTAATCCAACCCTGAGTAGGGTATGTAACCTAAATATTTAGGACAAATGAATATAAGGATTAGTGTGAAACACACCAAATGTGGGGATATAAAGGTTCATTATAAAGTATTTTCAGTCATGCACCGGTTTGAGGTTAAACGGTCAATAAAGAGCGTATTATAAAAAGAGACAATCTTTAAAGCTAAAAACTTCAAATATAGGTGTGTAAATTGACCCGGAGTAGATAACGGAGATTTTCTTTACAAAGAAAATAACTCAGAAACAGTTTTATATACTCTCAGACAATGAAATTTTAAGTTGTTTTATATTCAAAATAGATATTTAGTATACTATTAATACCTCAATATGATTCAATCATTTATTACAAAGTTTATAAAACGACAATACAAGTACTATATTAGGGCTTAAAAAAAAGTATACTATTATCAATATTATAGTTTACAATAAAATTATAGGCTGATTTATTATTTTAAAATTACAAGATAACAATATTACATAGAAAATCAAGTTATGACAAAATAAATCAAATTTTATTTCTAATAAATAAAGAAATATTTAAGTTATTTTGTTCTTTCAACACTTGATAACTAAATCATCATACATGTAAAATTTAAATAAAAAATTAAAAGTTTGTGCTTAGTTAACTGTAATTCGAAAATGCATACTTATATTCTGATTATTTCAACCATTATACGATCTTGATTTTTAAAATCTCTTATAAACAATGCACGTTATATATAGGTGTAATTAAATTAATTTTAATTAAACAGAATATGTCGACATATAATAATACTTTCGTATAATATTTTTTGTAAGAAATCCAGAAACTAAACTTTTCCCTTTTTAAATTGTCGAGTTGGGTAGAATTGAACCGACATTACAACGGAGACTTCGTTGACTATTCCCCTATCTAAACCCCTATTTTTTACCCATCTATAGAAAAAACTTTTTGCAACCTTTTTTTTTTTATATATATAGTAATTGAGATACCGAATATCGATATCAAATATCATTGTTATTTTTACTTTATAGTTGGCGTCGACTGACATATTAAAAAAGTGCATTATTTTCTTACTTATTGAAGCAATTATTTTTTCATTTTGAACGATTCGTCTAATTTTTAAATGTAAAAATTAGTTTAGTGATTATGTTTGAGTTTAATGAAAGACATATTAGTTAACACTATTTTATATTATATTTAATTATATTTTCTAAGAGTTGATGACTTTTAGTTAAAAATTAATTTTAAGTTATTGTGCAGCTACATATTAATTGTTTTCAACATTGTTCAGATCACTGGTTTTATATTACATTTTTTTCAGTAATTATTTAATATTCAAATTATAGGTGTTTATTTCTTAATTTATTTGTTTGTATCGATACTTTGAGAAGAAGAATCATTTAAAATTTATATTTTCTAAATATAATATAATAATAATATGTATAATCAATCAAAAAAAAAAAAGATTGAATTAAATTTTTACAATACTTGATGTTTAAACAATTACAATTTCTTATTATAACATAATATTATTAATAAGAATTAAATAACGATAATATCAAATATAAAATTGAGTTGAATACATTGTAATAATAATTAATAAGTCATAGGACCAATGTAAAACTAAATATAAATGCAATTTTGAATTAAAATTTTTTACATGCCATTGTAATGGAAACGAAAAATATATTTATTTTATTATTGTCATGTATTTATTATTTGTATTACACAAAAATTAATGTTGCGTAAATTAATTTCTTATGAATACAGCGTATTAGAGCTTTATATATCAGTAAAAGGTATGTTAAATGTTAGACCCTACTCAAAGTCATACTTTTAGTACCTATTTATTTATTATGTATACATATAGTAAATTACATTCAAATATAAATTATGTTAATGTTTACATATTTTATACAATATAAGTATATGTGTAAACTATAATTTTTAAATAGTGTCTTATTGTCTATTGATATTGATAGGATTATAATCTTAGTCTATATACAATATATAAAAATGCCTACGCTAATAAAATAGTATAACTACTAATAAAATGAGGATATACATTTTAATTCCAAAATATACGTACAAATTTTAATAAACAAGTAATTAATCGTATTTAGTTGAATAACTACTGTTTAAGTTAATTTTAATGAGTAGATCATTACTCATTGCTCTTTTTTTAATACTGTTATTATATTTAAAGTCATTTCAATAATCGTTTCCATTTTTTTTTTTTTTAACTTTTAACTCAGCTATCAACTGTATAATAAAATTAATATATCTATTTTTTGTTCTTATAACAACGTTTATAGATGATAATTAAACAATTGTTGATTATATAATTTATAATAAACTATATGCATTATGCATCCCATTCTCATTATATTTTTAAATAATCACTAGGCATTTATATCGGCATATAATTTATTTATAATAATTAATAAAGTACAATAACATATAAAAAATATGTATACTAAAAATGTCAATGGGCCATAATTTCGTGACATTTTTTATATTGAATTTTTATTTTTTTTTTATAACTGAACTTACTTTATTTGTTTCTGTTACCTTTTTGTCTTTGATATTACTTTGTCAGTCGCATAAATAAACGGCTACATTTTTTTTTTTTTTTTTTTGAAAATTAAATAATGATAAATAAAAAAAAAATACGATCTATGATGTCTTAAATATCCATATGTTAAATCTGTGTCATGTGGAATGTAATTTATAAAAAACGAACTGAAAGTTAGAAGAAAAAGTCTCTATAACTACAGTATACTGGTGGTTAAACAGAAACACAACAGTATCCGCAGTTTTTACTTTGTACTCTTCATCATCATTGCCGCTAACACAAGATTTAATGGTAAATGAACGATTAAGTCATTAAAAGCGTGCTTTGTTGTTTACTGAATAAATCAACGATGGAAATAATAATAATAATGGTAATAAGCAGCGGTACCGATGGCGCAAAAGTCGGACATTTACATGAAGTGAAATAATTTAAAAATGTTTCGCCCTTTTCAGCTGTATATATTCGTTTTTATTGATAATCACGACGAGTAATAATTTAATGTTTTATTTTTTTATCTTTACGATTAGAATATATCTCCGTTGTTCTTATCGCACAATTTACAATACATATACAGTTTCACTAAACAGTTTATGAAAATATATTATTTTGAATTCATAGTTCTAAAATATTTATTTTATTAACACACGACTTGTTTCTGCCTTAAAATATTGTATTAAATTTGCATTAAGTAATGTATTTCGCAACAAATTGACTAGTGAATTAATTTTTTTTGTCTCTGACCAACAAAAGTTAAACGGGATCCATGCTTAAAGAGAATATCTCAGTGAAAAATCTGCATTGAGTGAAGAATTATTTAAATATTTGACAGTATATTACTCATGGACTTATTCAAATATAATTTAAATCTTTTTAAGCATTTTGAGTTTTTCTTTTATTATTAGAATATATGTCTTAACCATTATATTATGTTAATTCAGATGGGGAAAAAGAGAATTTTTCAATGGGTTTTTTTATGGTTATTAGAATATTTGTCAATATATTATGTAATTTATAAACGTATATCAATCTCTCGATATAAATATAAGCAAAAATAAAAATAAAAAAAGATTTTTATCAATAATGATTCAAAGTATTAGGGTTAGTGAATTCAATTTTTTCTTTATTAGACAAACATGTATCGTTAAACTACGAAACTTGTATTTATGTAAACAACAGTGAGTATTACATTTTTTTTTAACATCAAAAATTTGCTACTTAAAATATACATTTTAAGTTAATTACTTGATCATTGGTGATTGACTGAATTAAGTTTATCTGCTTAACTTATTGTGATCAATACATTTTCTCATATTATATGTAAAAAAAATTAGTTAAATTTCAAATATTATTTTTTTAGATGTAAACTATAACGCATAGTTAATAGTCGTTCAAAGGTATGTGGTTTTATTGGTATTAGATAAATGTGTGTGGAAGCAAAAAAACAAACAGAGAGATACCTCATCTAAACTATCAAGGATTGACTCGACTGTAACAACGGTAGTAATGAAATATTTACATATGTTTAACGAAAATGATTTTCCGAGTCTACCGTCAATTCGAATCGTTTACTTGTCTGTTTCGATACTGAAATAACATTTTGCAGTGTACTTAGAAATCAATTTTGTTCTCTTTGTTTAGGATCTCCATTTTGGTGTTTACTGGACATTGTGCCGATCAAAAATGAAAAAAGAGAAGTGGTGTTGTTCCTGGCCTCACATAAAGACATTACGCACACGAAAATGGCAGAAATGCACGTGGGCATGGACTACGATCCAGGTAATACTCTTCCTAGTACAATATTTAGATACATATAATATCCCACGGGATTTAAACTATTGTAATCTACTATTGATGTAAATGTATACGGCGGGATATCCAATGGTGTTTCCGGTTGAGTTAACTGCTTAAAACATTTCTACAAATATCTATTTCCTATGTGCATTTAGCTGGGAAGTTTATTTTCTTAAAATCGAAAGATACGTATAGCTATATTGAAAATTGACAGTATTTAAAGTATGTATATTGAGTAATGTGATTAAAATTTTAACTCTTAATATACCTGTACTTAATTTTTATGTTTTGTTTTTGACATATTCAACATGAATAATAAAATTAGTACTTATTTATCACTTAAATTAAGAAGCTAATATTTTATCAACATGAATACAGATATTACAAATAATATATTAAAAAATAGTGAATAAAATAATAATTTTTCAAAGTATATTATATACGTTTGATATTCGTACCATATACATTATTATATAGTCTAAAATAAATTTATAATATGGTCTTTTATTTGTTATAGTTACGTTTGTTCAACAAAATTATTAAAAAACTGTATCATAAATATATATATATAAAACTAAAAACTAGTCAGTTATAACAAATAACGCTACAAAAAATATAAATGTCAGATTGAAGTAAGAATCAGTTAGAATTTTATTATAATTGGCAAATAAAAGCACTTTTAGTAAAGAAATGCAATTTTACAGTAAGCCAACAAATATAATGAAGAGAAAAGGGTTAAAATGGGATGGGTAGGGTAGGCTTTACAGATGGCACGATAATGATATTAAAGAGGATAAGGTTATTAGAAACATAATTTTGTCTTCGTGTGGTAAGGTATGATGCCAGCCAAGAGAAAATTGTTGTTAACTGTATTGAAGGATTTTCTTAAGTCGATGAATATAGCATAAACTTTGGTTTCAACTTTGAAATCTAGTATGTATAATAGAAATACTAATCTACTCGTGATAGTAGATGTATACGCTTAAAGTTACGTTGAATATCAATATTTATAAGGTTGAGACCGTTCTTTAATCGTGATTCGAAAGGGGATCAAAAACAATTAGACAGATATTATGAGAAAATGGAGATGAAATTATAGTTCGATACATGAATTGGACCACTAAATTTATAAATAGACGAACAGATAGGCTCAGGTAATTTTTGTTTTATCAAAGTAGAGATAAAGTGTCAGAACACAAAAAAATTTCTAGATATAAATAGATGATGAAAAAATAAAATATTTTTATATATCTTTAGATAAAAATGAGATAATTTTTCTACATTTTATTCATACGACATAATTTAGTAAAATATTTATTTTTTTTGGCATACAAAATATTAAAAACAATACGAATTTAGTTTAAATCAATATTAATTATCAATTAAATATGATAAATTATTTAAATTATCATGCAAAGTGTCAATAGACTATTTTTTGATAAACGAATATAAATAACAAAAACATAAATATGTGGTATTAAAACACGATTTTTTTAGCAAAAAAATAATTTACGTTTATATGTAGTAATTTTATTATTTTTTTTACCTACTATATTCATAAATTAAGTTGACATCATAAACAGGTTTAAAAATTATGTTAGAAAATAAAACGTGTACATTTCATAAATATAACGTTTTATAAAATATCTTAATACATTTATCTAGATGAAAATTATTTTTATCTTAGATTTCAGTTATCTAGATAAATTTGTATAGCTAAGTTCAGCTATTACATAACATTAGTTAGGGGCAATCGATTATGTTTTCCACACAACGGTATTTTATACTGATTATACAAGCTTGTTAGATAATCATTTAATCCTATTGGATTTATGCTATAATTCTGTTGGTAAAAAATGTAATAGAATTTGTAGGAAGCTCTTTTATAAGATTGATACATTTATTAATTTTTATGAGGCGCAAATAGACTGCTCTAGAATGCAACAATTATTTTAAGCATAATGTTTATAGATTTTTTCGAAAAATTTCTTAAAATCATAATAAATGTATTCTAATATTTCAACATTTTTCGGAAAATATTCTGTTATAATTGAAAATTAAAAACAAAAATGAAACGGATATGGATCATGGAATAATATATTGAAAACAATGTCTTGCTATGATAAAAACTAAATATATATCACGCGATGTGCTGGACGGACTCCATGATCACTTAAAATATAAACATGAAAATAGAATATTATCTAGTTCATCATTATTATAAACTGTATTCATTTAAAGAACCTTGGAAATATATAAATTTAAAGCCAATAATTTAAATAGGATTTTTTTTTTTTTTTTTTGACTCTAGAGTACACGATTTAAAAATATTCACGTAATTCTACACACACAGTATTTTTAACCACGTATTAAAATATTTCAATGAAAATTCGATAAATTAAAATAATTATCATCTTATTACTCTTAAATCAAAATCGTCAAATACTTTTGTTAGTATAAACAAATTAAACTTTTATACAAATACATATTAGGTTACTAATTATATAAAATATTTTATTCTAAAAAAAGAATTTTTTTTCCATCGTTTGTTGCGAACTGTTTCGGCTTATATATTTTTATATATAGATAGATAAAACACGAGGATAGGTCATAACGTATAATCAGCAATAGAAAACACAATTTAAAAATAGTCCATTATTGAGTTTTTATAAAATTAAATTGTGTATTAATGTCACATTATTCCACGCACACGGTCTTTCAGACCGTGTATTTTAATAAGTAATCAACTTTGAGCTCTTCTATAGCACAGGCATTAGCTTGCATACAGTTGGTAGTTGTATCCAACTTTAGTTTATCACCTAATTACGTAGAAAGTACCTAGGTTGGGTTGGGTTAATATTTTGTGTTTTTTAAAATTAAGACAAAGTTCTAAAAGCCTCATTTTTTAGACCGTGAAGTGTGTGCTCTAGGGTTAATCAACCTAACTTACATATCCATATTTTAATCTGTAGTTGGTTGGTGTCTTAAGCTTTGAACCATTAAATGACATATTTTATTTATTTTTTTTTCATTAAATTGTTGATAATGTGTTATTTATCTTAACTCCTGAGCGGTAATAATCTTAACATAATGACATTAATTGTTCATAATAAAAATAAAAATAACGCTTATATTTATGTTGGTTGCATGACACTAGGTCGGATTTTCGTTTCTATAGTGATATTAAATTCGAAAACAATGATAAATCGTCGTATCTGAAATGCGATTTTGAGTCTAAGCTCGGTTAGTAGGCTTGGATTTCTTCATTTATTCAACACTTTTTTTTTTTTAAAAGGATTTATTTTGCGTTTAGAAAATCGAAAAATAAATTTTTCAAAGTACTACAAGTTCCGAAATTTGTATAATAAAACACTTTTTGATCACTCTTCTACGCGAAAAAATAAAAAAAAATATATAATATTATAGGTTATCTATAAGATGAATAGCTATCGTTTGTTGTGAATTGAAAAATATTTTTCACGTTGAAAATTCAATTCTAACCTAATATATTAAAATAAATACTATTAATTTGTCTTTATTATCAAAATATATTTTATTCAAACAGCAATAAATGTGTAAAATCATTGCAATAGACAAGCAGTTATGGTATTTAATTAAGAATATTATTATATTTTATATGATTGATGTATACAATTTCAACTTTAAATCTATAAATAAATTTAAACATCATGAAAATAAAAGTAAAATTATTATATAAACTAAATAGTTAAAAATAATGTAAATATTATTTTCATTTAATTATTTACAGTATCCTTTAAAGCTTAGGTATAATAAATTATTTTTTACACATTAATACTTCTTATTATAACATTTTTAGTATGGTTAACCAAATAACTAAATATAATTAAGAAGATTTACAAATAAATAGAACACGTATTTTTTTTTTAACCAACTATAACTATTAAATTGGAATTTGTATATTGGAAATTATATTCGATAGATACTATAAATATTATATAAATTTAAAACAATTACAGAAAAATAGCATCAGTCAACACGTAAAACTAATATTTAATGCTTAAAATTTATTTTTCTGTGTAATTGTAAATAACTTTTTATTTTATTATTATAATATAAACATGAAGTTAAATACACGGTAGTAGTGTCAAATGTTTCAACAATTTTTCAACCTCAAGAATGTTAGATAATAATTATTTATTTCATATATATTTTCTATAGTTAGTAAAATATAAATTTCATTAATCAAAAAAGCCATAGTTCAAGTAATTTTTAAAATGTTCTGAATTTTACTGTCATGAACTTATGATATAAAGTTTCATTGCGTAAATTTAGTATTCTTGTGTTGCATTACATATAAAATCCTAATGAAAAGAAAGTAGAAACTCTTATTAAAGAGTAACTATGTACTTGTTTATTTTATTTGTTTATTTATAATTGTTTTAATTATTATTATTTTATTTATTTATTTAAATTATTTCATAGAAAAAATAGATAGATACCTGATTATAAACAAGATAAAATTTAAAAGTTAGTATAAAATTCAAAATAATTATTATGATATAATAGAATTATGAATTTCATTAGTATATTTTATACACGTTTTTGTCATGGCGATAGTGATTAGGAATAAATAAATATACTTATTTTTTTTTCTATAATTAACTAATTTATGTATATTTAATTATCAAAAGCATAATTATTGGCTCACTGAATTATGCCATCAATAGTTTTTAATTAAATTTTATATGATGTATAGATCTTAATTATATAAAATATCTTAAAGACTTTAAGTCATTAAAGAATGATAGTGAAATTGTATAGTTATTAAAGTATAGTATATATTGTTGACATAATTAATGTTATAGATTTTAAAATAAAATGTATAATATGTATGCCATTTTTTAACAATTTTCTATTAAAAATAAGAATTATAATTTTAACTTAGGTACCTGAGTATATCATTTGAATATAAAAAACGAAGCAACCAGATTCGATTTAGTTCT